TTGCAACTAAAAATGATATAACCTTAGGGTCTTGCTGTCATTTTGCTTGTAACTTGCTCATTTATTTTGTAAGTGCTGGATTTGGGTCAGGATTTGGGTAACATTGCAAACATACGATATTATTTTTTTGAGAGAAAAGCCTGTGGGTATGGTGTGCTCTGGGAGATATAGGGGTCACGTCCCACATAGATGTTAGCATCTGTGGTGCTGCTAGTGGGACTGAAGGCCCAGTGACTACCACAACATAAATAACATAGCATGGCAGGTGGGGTAAGGAAAGTTTTATTTAGCTGCTGTGTGATTTCTTTGAGAACTATAAATAACAATATGCTGATAAAAATAGCATCTTTGATCACCACAGCCACTCTTTGGAGATTTTAAGAGCTTATTCTCCTGCATTTACAGAGTAGAAAACTGAGGCTCAAAATGTAGGTAAATTGCTAGGGGTTGCCAAAGTCCAAGAGCCATGGGAACCCAGCTTGAGAACACAGGCATCGTAGTTCTGCTTAGGTAGTGGCTTCATTAAACAATGCCTCCAAGCACTATTTTCTCTCCATTCAGAGTGTTTTTTTGGAATATTTAAATTACTAGTATAATATGATCTATTTATCATTATTTAAGATACTACATTTCAAAAGCAACAGAAAGAAGCATTCAATATTTTAAGATGAAACAGTTACTTGTATAATTTGCAAAAACATACGAGTTGCTGAACATACAAATGGACAATGGCCAGGCCGTGAATCAAAGCAGAACTCTGACACAGCAACAGTGCAGGACACAAACGCTGTCCACAGCACAAGCCTGGAGACCAGCCTGCTATCAGTGAGGCTTTCAGGAAGCTGGACCACTGTCTCTGCCCAAATGCCAGGAAGCCAGACAATAACCCTTGCCACAACCAAAATGGCCAGGACTTGAACAACTGGCAGTTTTCCTCATCTATAGCCTGTCTCCAGCACTGTGATAACCAGTGGGGCACAGAGGCAGCCCTATTGGGCACAAGGTGCCCTGCTCCTAGTTAGCTGGCTGGCAGCATTCCATATGGAGCACGGCTTCTTTTTTTGGTACCAGGGATTGAACTTAGGACCTTGCACTTGTCAGGGAGGCACCTGTGCCACTGAGCTATACCCCCAGGGCACAGCTTCTGAAGCCTCCCCTCTTTTACTGTCAAGCTTTTCTACTCCTCTGCCTCTGTCTCCCCGAAAAATGCAATGATGGTCACTCTTTCCCTTGCACTTGCAAGCCCTGAATAAACCACCTTATTTTCACTTGAGCTATTTGCCTTCAAGTACAAAATCAGTTTATTTTAAGTAACACTGATGGAGGAAGACAGACTCCTGCTGTCTTTCCTGGGGACCACCCGCTTGGGAACCCCCTCCTGTCCCTCTCTCAGACAGGAGCTTTCTTTCCCTCAATAAATACATCCTTCGCATTAGAAAAAAAACCCATTGCTGTCTTTTTCTCAATATTGCCATCTTACCTTGAGCCTCAAAGACCATGGAAACTGGGTTTGTGCCTTTGGTTGAGACCTACTATGTGCAAAACATTCTTCTAGGTGCTCTATGGGAAACAGATGAGGATGACATGGCTCTTGGGTGTCTGGAAGGCAAACCATCACTCCGATGCCTACTGAGGGAGGCAGGACTTGGTGCCTCCAGTAATGATGGGTTACAATGAACCCAACTGGAGGCTCCACAGAAGTAGCAGAAGGGAGGTGTCTAGTGCTTACAATAAAAAAAAATTCAAAATACAGCAGAATCAGGGCAGCATATATGAATCCAACAAACTCACCATGAAAAATAATAGAGTTAAAAATAGAGAGAAAAAAGGCTGGGGGTATAGCTCAGTGGTAGAGTGCATGCCTACCATGTGTGGGGACTTAGCTTGAATCCCCATGTTTGTGTCTAGTTGTCCCCCTAAAGCCTCATGCAGTCATGAGGCGATCTTCTAGAGTTGGTGATTAACTCATGACCAATGCTGGGATTATAGGTGTGAGTGCTGCACCCGCCCTGGGGAAGGCAGCCTGAATATGACATAAGGGGGAGAGAGGGGCTTGCTGCTGCTGCTGCTCCTTCCCATTTTTACTCTTGCTGTTTTGTTGTTTTTTGCCACCATGAACTGCTGCCCTCTGCCATGTACCACCCTGCCTTGGAGCCATTGAATATGGACTGAAACCTCCACAAACTAGGAATTAAATAAACCTTTCCTTCCTTAATTCTGGATGTCAGTTATTTTGTCCAACCAAAGAGAGAAAAGTAGCTGACATACCCCAGTATAGCAAAATCAGTCAGTCAGCCAACTTGAAACTAGAATGATCAGCCAGTGCACCAATCCCACTTCCACGCACATATCCAATCTGTGCTGCAGAGAGGCCAGCACTCCTGCATCCAGTGCAGCAGTGTCCATAACAGCCAACATGGAGAAACTGTATGAGTGTCCATCAGCTGACAAAGGACATGATAGTGAGTTATGAACACTACACATTTGAAAAAAGAAAGGAAATCTTATCACGTGTCATACCCTGGATGTACCTGGAGGCCAGTAAAACAGGCCAGACCCAGAAAGTCAAATGTAGTGTGGTCTCACCCATATGCCCTTGTCAGTCCACTTGTGCTGCTGTAACAAAATACTGGGTAGTACATAAAGCAGAAATTTATCTTCTCATCATTGTGAAGGCCAGGAAGCCCAAGATAAGACAAGATCCTGCGGTGAGGGCTTTCTTGTGGTGTCCTCAAATGGGAAAAGGTGCAGGGACAAACACGCTGTTGTCTTTCTACTACAGAAAAGCAAGACAGCAGGATGCTCTGTGCAGCCTCCTTTACACAGCCTGAATGCTGTGCAGAGCACAGAGCCCTAGTTGTCTTATCACTCCTTAAAGGCTTCACTCTAATACCTGTGTTACACTGGTGGAAGTTTCGCCCGAAGGCTGTGTGTTGAAGGCATGCTTGCTAGCAAGAGCCCTGCTAGGGGTGTGTGTGTGTGTGTGTGTGTGTGTGTGTGTGTGTGTGTGTGTGATGTTTAAACAGTGGAGCTTAGAGGATAGTAGGTTACGGGTACAGAGCCTTGAAGGGCATACTGCATCACTGGCCCCTTCTCTTCACTCTCAGCTGCCCTGAGGTGAACAGTTTCCTCTGCCATGTGCGCCCACCATAATGTACAATACTGCCATAGGCCCAAAGTCAAGGAGTCAATGAACAAGGCAGAAAGCTTTGAAACCATGAGCCAAAATAAGCCTTTACTCCCTGAATCCATCACAGTATCTCAGAATTACAGTATTTTGTCACAGCGACAGAACACTGACTAACACACTATCATACTGGTAATACTTGGTCCAGGAAGAAGACATTCAAACCATAGCATTGTGAATTGCAAACAAGTCACACTTCCAGAAGCAGAGAGTGGAGGGGTTGTTACAAAGCCGGGACATGGGGGAAACAGATGTTGGCTGAGGGGTATAAACTTTAGTTATAAAATAAGTAAGCTCTGGGGATCAGATGTGTAACATGGTGACCATCATGAATGTTAGTGCCTTGCTCACTTGAAATTGGATGAGATTTTAAGTGTCCCCAGGCCACCCCCCCACAAACACACACTCATATACAAATAGTACTATGGGAGGTGATGGATATGCTAACTTGTCATTCCATTGTGTATCTTACATATGTAGCATTTAAACTTAAATATTTTTGAAAATTGTCATTCAAATTTTACATTTTTGTTACATTCAGATCATTATGATGGGGTATAGTTGAAGTTCTTTCCCCCTTTCTTTCTTTTTTTTTTTCGGTGGAACCGAGGATTGAACTCAGGCCCTTGCGCTTGTCAGGCAAGCACTTATTCTACTGAGCTATCTCCCGGGCCCTTCTTTCCCCCTTTCTAAATCCCATTCCTCTCTCCCTCCTTCAGGGTGTCTTTTCATGACACCCTGAAGCTATTTTGTCAAGAAGCTCCTTAGCTAGTGATTTCTGGTAGGCAGAGCCGGGAAGGCAGGCCTAGGAGAGAGAGTAGGGCACCCGCAGCCAGTGCATACAGGTGGGGAGGTGAGGGATGTTTATGTGTTTTGCTAGTGGTCTGCTCAGCTGAATGTCGAAGTGCAGACACAACCATCTGGGGACGCAGTGTGTGGGAACAAGACTGTCAATGTCCAGGATCTGAAAAAGAAGGAGGTAAGGATGCTGAGGATGAGACTGGAGGCAAGGGCTGCTGTAATGTGGGTGTAGGAAGGGCGTGGTTGACATCGGAGTGGCCACGGACAGGCAGTGTCCGTGCCTGGAGGGAAGCTAGGGGTGAAGGAGTGTGACTGTGTGCGTGTGACTGTGTGGGGGCTGTGAGCTGAGCTAGGTAGAAGACGCTTGAGAGTGCGAGGAGGGGTAGACTGGGACTCGCTCGGGGTGGAAGGGAGGTAATGTGGGTGGGAGGGTGGTCCATGTGGGGTGCATCTACTCTGAGAAGCCTGAGCACAGGCGGCATTCACCGACCAACCCGAGACACAGCATTGAGCACGAGATCACCAGGAGTCTTTAGAGCTTGGGAAGGTGAGTGCCACCCACAACCTCCCGGGAACCAGCCCGGGGCGAGATCAACACGAGTGATGCGGCTGCGCCTACCGCCCCCAAGACCTGAGCCCAGTTCCTAGGCTCGGTGAGCAGCCTTGTCCAGGATAGACCGAAGGCGGAGCCACGATTGGTCAACGTGCTCTTCCGGGCAGTGATTGGTTAACGTGTCCTTAAATTGCTAGGGCAGTATCCCAGGGCCGCCCCTGGCTCCTCCCTGTGTCTTCGGCCACGCCCCTTTCCGGACCATGATTGGTCAAAGCGGCCTTCCCGTTGCTAAGACAATATCCTAGGGCCTACCCTAGCTCTGCAATGAGACTTTGGCCCCGCCCAGATCTTCGTTCCCTCGTTTGGGGCAGCGATTGGTCTACGTGTCCTTCTTGTTGCTAGGGCAACACGCCAGCGCCCTCACTGGTTCCGCCCCGCCCCTTCCCGGCCCGTCTCCATGGCGACGGTGGACGCGCGGGAGGAAGGTGGCCAGTACTTACCTGCTAAGGACGTGGCGACGAGACTCGAAGCCGAGAAGAGACTATGTCGGACCTGGGCTCCGAGGAGTTGGAGGAGGAGGGAGAGAACAATCTTGGGGTGAGAGCTCCTGACAGAGAGAGCTTCCGGGGTGTACGGCGGCGGGCGCGCTCCGGAGGTCGGTCTGGCGGTGCAGAGGCCCGGAACCGAGAGCCGAGCAGTGGCCCAGCCTGGACGGGACCACGCCGGCCACACCCGGAGGCGCTGCGTCCTCCAGTGGACGGTGAAAGGTGAAACGCAGTGACGTCTGGTTTCACCGCCCGCCTTGCGCTCCCTCCCGCACTCTTACCTCCCATTTAAAGGAAAAGATTTCCAGGCCCAGGCTCTGTCGTTTTCTCTCCGCAGTGTGAACTTCCTTGAAGGGAGTTTACTGGATTGTTCCAGGCATTTGAATAAATTACTTCTGTAACTTGAGCTCTGTTCCTCTGAGATGGAGGATGCTGCTTCCCGGCAGCCTGAGAAACGCCACAGAGACCTGGGCTCAGTAGTGGCTCTGAGATGACACCCTATAGGCCTAGACCCACTAGTGCACCCCTGCCCAGCGTTCCTTGAGTCAGCAGAGAGGAGGCAGGGGACTCACTGGGCAGTGTGACTTGGCTCTGAGTGTACTCGTTTCTTTACTTTGATAGCAGCTCCTTCCCAAGCTAGAGGGCCACAGGCCCTGGCTGATGGGTTGGGAACCTTGGCTGCATGTTCATGGAAGCAGGGACTGAGGATATTTTCAGAATCAATGGAAGAGTCCAGCACCTCATTGCTAATGTCACTGGTGCCTGTCCAGAGCTTCTCCCTAGCTCTGCAGCCCCATCTCTCAGCTTCTGCCTGACCTGTGTCCATTGGAATGACCTGGCCACTATGGAGAGTAAGAAGTGCCTGGACTCACCTCTCCCCTCCCTGACAGTCCTCAATGCACAGACCAGTACGAACCAAACCACAGCATCACGACAGCCCTAGATGCCTTCTGCAGTCAAGTTACCCAGAGGCTTGTGCTACACCGAGGTGCACCCTTGCTTGCTGCCTTTTTACGGTGGCTTATTCAGGGTCTGCTTCCCAGTGAACCCAACAATCCCTACCCGGTGAGCTTTTACTGACTGTCCTCAAGGGCCCAACCTGGGTTATAACTTTGGTGCCCAGAACTTTTGAAGTTTGGGATCCCTTAGACTAAGTCATTCTTTTGTATGTGGTCACCCCAGAAGCTTGGGGTCAGGCCTCTGAGTTGGGTGGGAGGTGGTGCCCTATACATTTTGGTTTAAGCTCATGCTGAATCAAATTCTGTAGTCTAGGCAAGAATTCCAAGGGAAACAGGTCTGTTTCTGTCCGAAGCCTTCACTGACGTGCATGCAAATATAGACACACTTGTAATAAATCTGCGCAGATCCAATTCCACGCGGGCTTTCGTTTTAACTTTTAAAATAAATGTTGTGCATGTTTAAGTGATCCAACAAGATGCTTTAAACTACTCATTATTACTGTATTACTTGTCCCTTGTATTACCTTTTGTTTGTTTTTGTGTTTTGAGAGAGGGTCTCCCTATGTAGTTCAGGCTGGCCTTGAACTCACTATGTAGCCTAGGCTGGCCTCAAACTCTCAGTAGTTCTCCTGCCTCTGCCTTCCTAGTGCTGGGACGACAGACATGCACCAGCACACTTGTCTCACTTTGTTACGCATTGTGTGTATTCCACACTTATGGTGCTACAGATTAGAAAATGGCGAGCAATTATGTATTATATTATATTTTGTATTTAACTTAAAAAAATTCATTTGTTTGAGCTGACATCTTGCTATACAGCCCAGACTGGCCTCAAATTTCTGTGCTCAAGTGACCTTCTTGCCTTCTACTGCCCTCCCCCACATAGCTGAGATAAGCCAGGGGACATTATTTCAGGATGGGGTGTGGGGCTTAAATGCAGGCCTCGGTGCATGCTAGACAGGCACTCTACCAATGAGCTCCCCCCAACCCAACTGACTTTCATGATAGATATATAATTATTTCAGGTCCAGCTCTGTGTGTTTCAACCTTGTTTCTTGGTAGGGAGTTTGAAATAAGATAAAGTGAACTGAGCTGGGAGGCAGTGGCGCCCATGTATGCCCGGCACTCTGTACACTCTCCCTCCCATTGGAGCTACTTGCAGGACAACAGTGATCTCAGGAACAGACACCCAGGGATCCCTGTGGGGAGGACTTGCTTCTGCCAGGAAGTGCACAAGGCTGCCCCACCTGTCCAGCCTACTGTAGGCCACATCAGGCACAGCCCGTCTCATTCCTCACACATGGCTGGTCTTGGCTCTCAAGTGAGGCTGCGCATTGTAGAATGTAGGCTCAGAGGCTACAGGGGTGTGGAGAGGTCACACACACACACACTAGTCATGTGGCCTTGGCCAGGGCTTGGTTACCTGCCTCACCTGCCCCGTGGGATGACTGAATTTGGGGCTGCCAGGCCCATGGCCTCCACTGAGTGACCTGAGCCATGGGGCCCTTAATCCCTTCTTTACAGGAGTATGAAGGGGAGCGCAATGAAGCCGGGGAGCGGCATGGGCACGGCAGGGCACGGCTGCCCAACGGAGACGTGTATGAAGGCAGCTATGAGTTCGGGCAAAGAAGCGGCCAGGTCAGACCCTGGAGGGTGTCTTGCTTTCTATTTTATTCTCTATTAGCAAATATGCAATTCAGGAATAATCTCAATGATGTGATCCATGTATTTCAGGGGGTCTACAAATTTAAAAATGGTGCCCGATACACTGGACAATATCTTAAAAATAAAAAGCATGGTCAAGGCACTTTTATATATCCAGATGGATCGAGATATGAAGGTAAAATATTACCCACTTTTTTTCTTTTTTTATTGTAGAAGTTTTTGTGTCCGAGTTCGTCCGTGGACATGCAAGTATTTGGCAAAGCTTAAATTTCGCTCCATTAGTCATTCAACAAACTCAAACTATGTGCCTGTGTTTGGGAAGCCTTGTGTAGTTAATTAGCTAACTGGTTAGTTAACTAGCATGGGAAGTATCACTGTCCCTGTGGTCAGCATGGCTGTTCTGGGAGCCTGGTTCTGGGCCCACCCTTGGGCTGTGGCTGGCACCCATGCCTCTGTGCCTCTGTTTCCCTCAAATTATCCTTGCTGTCCCTATTTCTGACCACAGCCTTTTCACATCGACATGTTGTCTTTGAATGTAGTGGTTCTGTCCTTTGCTCAGCTGACTTTCCCATCTCTGTCCCAGTTCCATCACACAATATTGGGTCCTGAGGAGGCTCTGTCCCCTCATTCCTGAGGCCTCCCCACCTCCCCAGGAACCGAGCTCTTGCTGTGAGCACAGCAATCCATCCCCATTCCTGGCAGTGTGTTCTGGGCTTCCTGTCCCTGCTTGGGGAAACATTACCTTATGTCTGTCTACTTCCCAAGAGACCTGTGACATGTGTGACTCTATCTGTCTGCATCTCAGCTTTCTCATCTGTCATCTGAGGATGGGATTGTCAGTGTCTGGGGCCAGGAAGAGCTCAGTGAGTGTCCATGAGACTGAGGTGACAGCACTATATTTCTTTCCTGTCATAGTGGAGACAGGACTGGGGTCTCTACATGTGCAGGCAGACCCTCTGCCACTGAGCTATGTCCTGGCCCTTTTTATTTCATTTTGAGACAAAGTCTTGCTAAGTTCCCCAGGCTGGCCTCAAACTTGCAATACTCCTACCTCAGTCTCCTAAGTAGCTTGGATTATAGGTGTGTGCTGGCCACTTCTTAATGAGGATGACATATTCTTTTTTTTTTTTTTTTTCTTTTCTGGAACCAGGGATTGAACTCAGGCCCCTGAGCTTGCCAGGCAAGCGCTTATTCCACTGAGCCATCTCCCCGGCCCCCAGGATGCCATATTCTTAAAGAGCATGCTATGCTCTGGTGTCATCTTCCCATCACAGTGACAAGTATTAGTGACCATCTTAAAGGAGAGAAGGTTTACTTCAGCTCCTGTTTCCAGAGGCAGCAGTACCTCATAGCAGGAGCTCCTGGCAGCTGAACTGCTCACCCTGTGGCAGCCAGGAAGAAAAGATGGGGGGGTAGGGTCCCCACCCCTGGTGCTAAGCTCCTCCCACAAAGTCCCTGCCTCATCAAGGTCCTCCACTTCCAGTAGTTAGGGACTTGAGACCCCTTGGGACATTGATCCAAAGCAGATGGTTTATCTGCCCTGGTCCTGGACCAGACAAACACCAGTAGCAACAGATGACAAAGAGCACAGGGTGAGGACTCTGATTCTGAGACGGCTGCGGATTGTACTCCTGCCTGCTCCAGTAGAGATTTCCTGCATCTCAGCAGGGACCATCTGCTTTGTGAGTGAACTTTGAACAGTTTCATTCAGGCCTGTATGAAATTCTTTCTCAATTCTGTGAGCCTCTTCACATTTGGGCACTTCCAGTTTTAGAGCAGCTGTTGATATGATTTGAACAAAATAGTATTTTTAAAAAACATTCTAATGTGGGGCTGGTGAGATGGCTCAGTGGTCTAAAGCACCTACTTAGAACAAGCTTGGCAGAGCACAGGGACCGCGGTTCAATCCCCCAGCACCACATGCCAGCCAGCCTCGCCCCCTGGTGGGCTGAGCTGGCCACACACACATACACACACACACACACACACACACACACGTAAATAAATGAATAAAATTTGAAAAAAAAACATTCTAATGTGGAGGTTAACTAACTGGAGGGAAGGTTGTTTCTGACTTACAAGACCTCACCATGCACAGGGGGTTCTCCATACCTGCAGAGACTACCTCCCAGCGAGTTCCTCTTCCTCCTGAGCTGTACTTCTCCCAGCTCTCTTCTGCCAGGCCCCTCTGCCACTCAGCCCTGCTGTGGAGCCTGCTGTGGAGCCTGCCAACTGCAGGCTGAAACCTCTACACGCTGTGTCGCCAAATGACCCTCTCCTCATGAAGCTGCCAGTGTCTGGCATTGTGTCTTAGCAACAAGCTAAGGGACTAAGTGGGGTGAAGGCCATTAGAGGCCTTTGAGGTAGGAGGGGAGAAAAAGCATCACTTCTCAGGGCTGGTCTTGTGTTCTGCCAGTGGGAACTAATGAAAATGGGGACGTTTAATAATACAATTATGAAGAAACAAAAATGGTGACAGGAAGTTGGCTGGTCTGGAAGTTCACCAAGGCAGGAGCTGGAGGAGGAAGGGACCAGGGCTTCTGAGATGTGTGTGAGAACTGGTGACACTGGGATGACATGTGCCTGGGAGAATCCCGCCCTGGCCTGGCTGCTTCTGGCAGTGCACTCGATACACAGGACAGTTGTGGGTCTGGCATGGCCTTTGCCATAAAGGCTGGCTCGTTCTCTTTGCCTGCTGGCTGCCAGTGAAGGGAGCCAGCTGTGAGGACCAGGGGCCTGCATCTTAGAGGGGAGGCGCGCCTTAGGCGAGAGCTTCTACCTTAAGTGGTTGCTGATCCTGGAATGCTAGACTAGGGCTACAGTGATCAAGACAAGGGACAGCTGTGGGAGCTTAGAGGTGACACTATGTTCTCTCAGAGGGAGATCCAACACCAGATATCTACCCAGCTGGAGGTTTCCTCCTGAGAAGAAGCCTGGTTTTAAAAACTTCTAGCCAGGTGTGGTGGCCTGTTGTAGTACCAACCCTCTGGGAGGGCGAGGCAGAAGGATAGCACATTTGAGTCCAGCCTGATGGCTTGATGACTTAGCAAGCTTCTGAAGGGCTGCCCTGGGTTGGATCCAAAAGCAACTGACAGAAGTACTTTGAACAACAACACCCACAGTGACAACAGCAGCACCATGACCCTTCCCAAAACACATAAAACAAAAAGCACCCCCAAACAAAAATGTCCACTGACAAAATAAGAAGGATGAGCAACTATCAAAATCTTTTTAACAAGTTGTGTGCAAACGTAAGACATGTGGTTACACAATTTGCAGCGAGATTGTGCCACAGCCACCCACACTGCCTGCGTGGCCCTGCGAGGGGCCCACCTTCCTCCGGCTCCGGTTTCCTGTGCAGCCAGCATCTCACAAGTTCTTACAGCAGAGCGTGATGTCAAAGCCGTGTCCACAGCAGCCTTACTAGCAGCAAATTTAGTGTTATTTGTAACTCATGTTTTTCAGTTTTGAAAAATTTACATATAATATGTAATATGTATATTTCGCTCCACTAGTGTGGAGATAGCTCACAGGGCCAAGACAAGAGGGTCGTTGTAGTTTTGTCATGGTCTTTGGTTGGGAACAAACCAAAAGGTGTCATGGTCCAGCGAGGTCTGTACCACTGGGCTGTGCTGAGCTGTAGCTCTTGGAAGACCCTTGGCTAAGGGTCTCGAGGTGTAGCTCAGGCTGGTCTCCAGCTCACGTATAGTCCAGGTTGGCCTCAAAGGTTACTTGAAGTGATCCTCGTGCCTCAGCCTCCTGAGTGCTGGGATTACGGGTGTGTGCCATCACACCCATCCCTATCAATATCCAGTTTTTGATTCTCTATCAGTGTTACTCATACTGTCCCTGTCACATGTGCATTACATCATGGGACTGAGTCCCCTTCTTCGTTGCTAACAATTGCTGCTCACCTTCTCAGGCTGAGTTTTTGGTGAGCCTGCACTTGTCTCAAATGTCCTCTGTGTTTGAGATCCTACAGTTGTAGAGCCTCTAGTCGCCCTCTGCTGACAGCTCTGTCACCAGGCGGGGTGTAGACTCCATGCAGACACATGTGGGTACCCTCCTATAGTGCTCAGGTCACCAGTGATGCTGTGAAACTTGGGAGTGATGGAAGAACTATGCAGAAGTTCCTTGTGCAGATAAACTTCAGGGTTTATTCATAGGAACAGGCACTGCTTGGGCAATTTCCTTAGCATATTGTGGAACTGGATCTGGTTTTATGTAAGAAGCTTGTATGAGCTTTGGGTCTTCTTGAAGACAAGAATATAAAGTTGGTATATGCATACATTTTTATTACTGATGAGAAATCAAAAGAAATTAAAAATTTAAAAGGCCCTTAAAAGGCCCCAGGCAGCACAGCATCCCTGAAGGTACCCTGAGGATTTTGAATGAAGCCCTGCACACTCCTAGCTTTCCCTACCACTGGTAGCCTACCCCCACTGGATGTCTATCTCTCTGTGAGAAAGCAGCTTTACAACATTTTCTACAGGGTTGGGGAGATAGCTCAGTAGAATAAGCACTTGCCTGGCAAGTATAAGGGCCTGAGTTCAACCCCCAGTACTGCAAAACAAACAAACAAACAACCATTTTCTATAGACAGAATAGAAGGCCAATTTCTTTTAAAAAAATTTTTTTTTGTCAATTCCTTTTTTTTCTGTCCATTCAACACTTTGATCAAATTGGTTTCTAATTATTCAGCCAGTGGCTTGTTCCTGGCAGTGTGTGAGACTGCAAGAGAATTGCCCACTGTAGGAAGCCTGGCCGGGAGCCTTTGGCACCTGAGCTGCATCGGTGAAGCAGTGAGCTTTGTAGAAATTAATCTGAAATTCCCTGTAACAGCCCAGCTTGCTGCTGGCCTCAGCATCCAGGTGACGGGAAAGTTTCAGGTCTTTGCTGATTTCAGTGTTTTCCATCAAGCCGACATGAAATCTTGGAGCCCATGTGCAGGTGCCCAGCAAGGCCACCCGGGCTGGGGGAGGGCACGCATCAGGCACGGAGCTGGCACACAGGGGCCAAGCCTGGGCTGGGAAGGCTCAGAGCTGCTGCTGGGTCTGAGGACACGCACCGAGCACAGGCACTGTGGCCCTAAGATCACTCACAGGGCTGGGTGGGCCTGGTTGGTTTCTTTTAGGAAAAACTTCAGTCTTGTATTACCTGTGTGTAGAGCATCAAGCTTGCACTCCTGTGTGGGGCTGGCCCATGCGCATAAGGAACCCAGTTCCTCCTTCACCCCTTCTCTCTTCCCCGCTGCCTTTTGTCTCTTTCTCCTTTTCCTAACCTTAGCTCCCGAGGTCCTGTTATCTATATTTTATTTTGCCCTTTTGTTGTTCTTGTCATTTTGAGACAGGGTCTCGCTATGTAGTTTAGGCTGGCCTTGAACTTACTCTATGGCGCAGGCTGGCCTGGAACTTGCAGCGATCCTCCTGGCTCCTAAGACTGCTCATTATTTTTACTCTAGGTCTCTCAGTAAAGAGAAACTGCATGATATTAAAGCTTGTGAGTCTGACTTATTTGACTTAGCTGTATGCTCTCAAGGTGCATCCATTTTCCTACAAATGACTCAAGTTTACCCTTCCTTATTGTAGAGTAGTACTCCATGGTATACAAATACCACGCTTCCTTTTTTTTTTTTTAAATGTATTTAGTACAGGGTTTACAGGGTCTCACTACACAGATCGGACTCATGGTGATCCTCCTGTTTTCAGCCTCCCTAGTACTGGGATTACAGGTGTATGCCACCATGCCCAGCCTTAATCACTGTCTCAGTGCACCCTGGGGGCAGGGCCGGCATGGCACACCGGAGATTGAACCCCAGTTGCTGCAGGTGCTTTAATCTGCTGAGCTACATGGCTGGCCCAATACCACACTTTCTTTATCCATTCATCTGTTGAAGGGCAAAGAGGCTGCTTCCAAGGTTTAGCTATTGTGAGTAGCATTGCTATAAATATGGGTGTGCATGTATTGCTGTAATATGGTGGCTTTAACTCCTTTTTTATGGCATCAGGGATCAAACTTGGGACCTTGTGCTTACCAGGCAGGCTCTGGAACTCTTTTGGGAAGATAGCCAGAAGAGTGCTGGGTCAAATGGAATTTCTAGTTTCAGTTTCTGATTTCCATAGTGCCTGTACTGGTTTACATTCCCACCAACAGTATAGCCTCGCCAGCACTTGTCATTATTTGATTTCTTGATTGTGGCCACTCTTGATGATGGGGTAAGATGGAAGCTCAGTGTTGCTTTAATTTGTGGTTTTCTAACAACAGGCAGGCTCAGTTTGAATGCTGCCTCTGTCCCCGGCAGCCAGTGAGAGCCACACATGCATACATGGTGTGAAAGAAAAATATGGTGAATGTTTGAATTTTAAAAATGTATTATTAGTATAAGTGACACAGAGCCACTGGTCATTTTTGACTTTGGGAATATCCAGAAGTTGTCCAGGGCCTGATTTGGTAAGTAAGGTGGATGGGGATGCACTGTGATGTTTGTAGGAGCCTGCCTTTCCACTGGGTGGTGCACTCACTGTATTTTTGATTGCACCATGTAAAGACGTTTAGAAAAGAGAACTCCAGAGCTGCTTCAGAAAGTGGCAAGCACAATGGGAGGGATGTGCTTAAAGCACAGGGGAGAATTTTGAGAAGGAATCATGATTGTGTGTCTTTTACTGTAATAAAAATTTAAAATTTAAATACTGTAAATTTCGATCCCCCTTGTACAGTGCTGTAGGCCAGTGCTTGGTAGACCCCACTCCACTCTGCCTCTTTCAGCTCTCCAGAATGGCTTAGCCACTGTGCCAGTGGGCACAAGGGGAGCAGGTAGAGGGAGGTCACAAAGCAAGAGAACAGTTGCCACAGCCTTTGCATTTCTGAATCTGTCCTGCAGAATTTCCTGGGCACACTACTGGGGCCCTTTGGGCCTCAAAGGGGCCATGGCCCAGTCACCTTATTCTGTTCTTACCAGTGCTCGTTTTGTGTTGTCTGTCACAGGGGAGTGGGCAGAAGACCAGCGGCATGGCCATGGTGTCTACTACTACATCAACAATGACACCTACACCGGGGAGTGGTTCGCTCACCAAAGGTTTGCTTTGAACTTCCAGCACTGCTGTGTTTGTGGAATAAGAACAGTGATGCTTTCTGTTTGCTACACTTATTAGAAAGCAAAATCCCAACAGATCCCATTTACAGACTTCCCTGGGCGTTTCCAAAGCAAGTGTGGTGTGAATGCCAGAGCCAGTGTAACCCCAGTAGCAGGTGCTGCTCTCTCGTGTGGACAGAGCATGTGGAGCCTTCACCCCCCATTCCTAGGGGCAGAGGGCACAGAAGATCCAAACTGGTGCCAGAGGTCAGCTCTCAGCAGCTCTGCCTGAGCCTGGGAAGCAGCCTGCCTCTGGGTACCTACCAGAGTCAAATGCGTGGGGCGCCATGCAGGAGGTGTCCTTTGATTGGACATCGAAGTCAACTTAGCAACTTGGCTGGGAGCCAGTATCCACTGCACTGCAGACACCCTCACTCAGCCCCACTGTCTGTGCTAGAAGCCCAGGAGGGCTTTCAGAATGTGGAGACAAACACACTGTGGCTCTTATCTTTGCCAGGCATGGGCAAGGCACCTACTTCTATGCAGAGACCGGCAGTAAGTACGTTGGCACCTGGGTGCATGGCCAGCAGATGGGCGCGGCTGAGCTCATCCATTTGAACCACAGGTACCAGGGCAAGTTCCTGAACAAAAACGTAAGTCAGTGGGGAGGCGCCTTGGCAGGGAGAGGTGCAGTAACCTTCCTCTCACCCCACCAGTGTCCTGGGGAACATGTTGACATTACAAAATCCCACCATCCCTTCCAGACACAGACACTGGCTGCTGTGCCTTCAGATGCCCTCAGAGGGCAGAGTGGGGTGGGGTGGGCAGGGGCCAGGGGCTGGGCTCATTTCCCTGATCATCTTCAGCTACCTGGGGGCCCCTTGTCAGGACACAAGGGGACATCTCAGCTTCTGGTGGGCAGTGCCCTGCTAACAGGTGAATCAGAGGTCCAATTCTATTTCCTGCAACTCTAGCTTGGTTTCACCCATGAGGGGAGGTGCTAGAGCCCGGGAGGAAGATCTCAAGTTCTGTCCTCTGCTGCTGGCCAGCTGAGCTCTTGTGCCTGGAGGGCTTTGAGCACTGGCCCCAGGTGTGTGGCATCCTGTTCCCTGTCCCACCACTTGGAGGACTCTGGATTCATCTGGTTTTCTTGTACCAAAGGCTCATGAGATGCAGAGGAACCCTGAATAATTCTGACCGTACCACATAGGCATTCGAAGTGGCTTTCATCAGGGTGCAAGTGCAAACTGTCCATGGAGAGGCTTTGCTGAGTGGATGGGTGGTGTCAGAGGTCAACACGGGACGTTTAACACTTTTAGTGGAGTCTCTCTGGAACTCTCTGGTAACATCAGTTTGGTAGCATCAATAAGCTAGACCAGGCTGATCTGAAAAAGGAAGGGTGAAACGGAAGCTTTGTTCTGCTGGTTGTAAGAAATCTATGTTGTGCAAATAACCCACCAGGATTTTGTAACTGTAAAGGGTCCCTGTGGTGGAATGCTCCGCCTCCCTTCTTTCCAGCCCCACCCATGTCCTCCTTGAGTGTCTTCTTACTATTTCTGGTCTCTGACTGTCCCTGTCTCTCTGTCTGTCTCTCTCTCACACGCACAAACATACAGTTTATGCAGAATCATAGTTTTGAGATTTGAATCACACAAATAGGGTCACACTATATCAGGACATGAAGGAGTATCTGTCATCCTCTCACTTGCTGGAGGCTGTTAAAGGAAATGTAGCAGGGAGCTGGTTGGATGGAGCTCCTGCTCTAGGCCCAGCATGCAGAACAAGCGAGCCGCTCACACCGAAGTTCTGTGTCACAAGCTCAGTGAAGGTGCTGCTCTGATCTTCTCAGCCATTAGTGAGACAGTAGTTCAGCCCCCCAAACAAACCTGTGCTAGTGGGCGTGGTAAGGGAGTCCCCACTCCTGTGGCATTTGTAAGAAAAGTGCCTTTGACATGACCAATCTGAACATCACTGTGTTTCTTTACCAACCCTTCTGTCTGTAAATCAGTCTCCTCCTCTGTTCATTGGCATAATGTTTTTTTTTTGGAACCGGGGCTTGAACTTAGACCCTTGAGCTTGCCAGGGAGGCGTGTATTCTACTGAGCCATCTCCCCTTCCTCTGTTCATTGGAGCACAGTTCTAGTTTTAGAGACTTGTGGCCCAAATCTGGAATTGAAAATAAAAGTCATTGAGATTTCAAAGCTAATTTTACCGCAATTTTGTTTTTTGACAGTAGTGTTTGTGCAAGATTATTTATGTGGTATTTAGGTAGATAACGGACTTGCAAAATGTGCAAGTCTTGAGATTTTTAAATTTTGAATTGACTCATAATGCCAATTGTTCTAAGCAGCTTGGCCCATTTATATTCTCAACAAGAGAATATGAGTCTCTCTGTCCCATATTCTCATGAATCTTGGGTATTACTAATCTTTAAGTTTGCTTTTCAAATCTGATGGGTAAAAATGTCCTGTTGTTTGGAGGTTATCTCCCTGGTGACCAGGGAGGCCAAGCCCTTTTCACATTTTCTCAGAAAATTCTTGCTGGTAACTTATCCTGACAGTGCAGTGTGAGGTAGGGCAGCACAGATGGAAGAAGCAGGTTAGAGAGCAGAGCAAATACTTAAATGCCTGCGAGGGATGCGTTTCAAAGGAATGAGCATATGGGGGGCACTCTAGCACTGGCCTGGGGCAACTGGCCAGCCACTTAGAAGAAGAAAATCAGAATTTGTCCCTCAGCATAGAAAGGGAAGTACTTTCTAAAGTCAAATTTAAATGTAACCAAGATAATCACAGATGGAAGAATAATTTGTATCTTTCTTATCTTTGAAGCAAGGAAAGTAGGCTTTTTAGACAGACTCATAAAGAAAAAACCAATAGGTTTAGTTTCATAAAGATGTCTTCTTAGAGCCAGGTGAGGAGTTAGATACCTGTAATCTTGGCACTCTGGGAGGCTGAAGCAGGAGGGTCATAAATTTGAGCCTGGTCTGGGGAATCTGGCAACTTAGTGAGATGCTGTTTCAGAAATAAAAAAAGCTGATGGTGGAGTACAGTGTGACGACCTGGATTTAATCTTTGGTAGCGCACATGCTTGTGTGCACACACACATGATCATCACACACACACACACACACACACACACACACACACACACACACAC